GAGGGTGTCTTTTTCGGGATGTCTTTTGGGGGGGAGTGGGGAGATATGGGGCAAAGGGGGTATCCTGTCCCGTCCCAGGGGGGATCACGGGGGAGGAGGCCAAGAGGTCGAGCTTCCTCAACATCGTGGGGCTGGTGGGCTCCATCGACAATGACTTCTGCGGCACCGACATGACCATCGGCACTGACTCGGCCCTTCACCGCATCATGGAGATCGTGGATGCCATCACCACCACCGCCCAGAGGTGACACCCCCCTTGTCCCGTGTGTCCCCCCCATCCCCGTGTCCCACCACCACCCCATGATGGAACATGGGGACCCCCCCAATTCTCCTCCCTGGGGTGAAACTCCCATCGCCCGCAGCCACCAGAGGACCTTCGTGCTGGAAGTGATGGGACGTCATTGCGGGTATGTCCCCATTGCCACCACCCCCAGCAAGAAAATGAGTTGGGGGGGTAAATAAAAAGAAAAAAACCCTAAAATAGCCTTTTTTCACCCCGTTTCCAGCTACCTGGCGCTCATCACCGCCCTGGCCTGCGGTGCCGACTGGGTCTTCATCCCCGAGTCCCCCCCCGAGGATGACTGGGAGGACCATCTCTGCCGGCGGCTGACGGAGGTGGGATGGGGTCTGTGGGTGCCGTGTGTCCCCCCCCAAAATTTTGTCACCCATCGTCACCCCATTTCACCCCTTTCCCACCCCCCCCCTAGACCCGCCTGGGGGGCTCCAGGTTGAACATCATCATCGTGGCCGAGGGGGCCGTGGACAAGCACGGGAAAGCCATCACCTCTGATGAGATCAAAACTGTGAGATGGGTTTTTGGGGGGGACACACACAAGGGAGGTGGGGGGAACTGCTTGATTTTTCCATCCCAGTCTTTCCCAGTCCTTTCCCAGTCCTGGTTTTTGGGGTGGGATCCAGGCACATCCCTCTATCTTCTCCTTCTTCTCCTTCTATGACCAAGTGACCCCCTTGGTGGATGAGGGAAAGGCTGTGGATGGTGTTTCCCTGGACTTTAGCAAGGTCTTTGATAGAGTCTCCCACAGGATCCTCCTGGAGAAACTGGCTGCCCATGGCTTGGATGGGAGGACTCTCCACTGGGTTAAAAACTGGCTGGAGGCCGGGCCCAGAGAGTGGTGGGGAATGGAGACAAATCCAGTTGGGTTTCCAACTCTACCCATTACTGGGACCAGTTCTCTTTAACATCTTCATCAATGATCTGGACGAGGGGATGGAGTGCAACCTCAGTCAGGTCACAGATGACACCAAGCTGGGTGGGAGTGTGGACCTGCTGGAGGGTAGAGAGGCTTTGCAGAGGGATCTGGACAGGCTGGATGGATGGGCTGAGACCAACGGGATGAGGTTCAACAAGGCCAAGTGCTGGGTCCTGCCCTTGGGTCCCACCAACCCCATGGACACTACAGGCTGGGGGCAGAGTGGCTGGAGCTGCCTGGTAGAAGAGGACCTGGGGGTGTTGGTCGACTGTGGGCTGAAGATGAGCCAGCAGTGTGCCCAGGTGGCCAAGGAGGCCACCAACATCCTGGCCTGGATCAGGAACAGCGTGGGGAGGAGGACCCAAGAGGCGATGGTGCCCCTGAACTGGGCACTGGTGAGGCCTCACCTCGAGTGCTGTGTCCAGTTTTGGGCTCCCCACCACAAAAAAGACATTGAGGGGCTGGAGCGGGTCCAGAGAAGGGCAACAAAGCTGGTGAGGGGTCTGGAGGGGGTCACAAGTCTTGTGAGGAGCAGCTGAGGGAGCTGCGGGTGTTCAGCCTGGAGAAGAGGAGGCTGAGGGGAGACCTTATTGCTCTCTCCAACTCCCTGGAAGGAGGGTGTAGAGAGGTGGGGGTCAGTCTCCCAAGTCCCAGGTGACAGGACGAGAAGAAATGGCCTCAAGTTACAGCAGGGGAGGTTCAGGCTGGATATTAGGACAAGTTTTTTCACCCAAAAGGTCATCAGCCCTTGGAATGGGCTGCCCAGGGAGGTGGTGGAGGCACCATCCCTGGAGATGCTCAAGAGATGGGTTGATGTGGTGCTGGGAGATAGGGTTTAGTGATGGTGTTGCTTTTTTTTGTTATGGGGATGTCTATTTTGGTCAAAGTGAGGTTGAGGGTTGGCCAAGATGATCTTGAAGGTCCCTTCCAACCTAGAAGATTGATGATTCTGCTTCTCCTTCGCAGCTGGTGGTGAAACGTTTGGGCTACGACACCCGTGTCACCATCTTGGGCCACGTCCAACGCGGTGGGACCCCCTCCGCCTTCGACCGCATCCTGGTAAAAGCAGCTTCCAACCCCCCCTCCCCCCCAGGGAAAAAAGGGGGTTCGGGAAGGGGTTGGGAAGGAGGGGGATGTCCCCAACCCTGTGTCCCCCTCCCCAGGGCAGCCGGATGGGTGTCGAAGCCGTCATGGCTCTGCTGGAGGGCACCCCCGAGCCCCCCGCCTGCGTCGTCAGCCTCTCGGGGAACCAAGCCGTGCGCCTGCCCCTCATGGAGTGCGTCCAGGTGGTGAGTAGCGGGGAGGGGGGACACACACACACCCCCT